ATGAACAAAATGCTAAGTGGAGTCAATCACTGTGTCTACTTCACCATATGGATTCACAATGCTCTCAGCTTCTCACTTGCCTTGTAACTCCCACATGTTAAATAACATCAAGCTCTCTCCTTGGAAAACAGAAAGAGAAGGTAATTACCTGCTCCTCTTTGTTGTTTATGATAACCAAGCGTGATGCCCTCTCTTCACAGAATAACTTTGCCTCTTCGAAGATTTCTCTTTCAATTGAAAAGTAATAGCACTTTTCTGTATAGTTCTTCCAATGGGGAGAACAACCTGTAATGTGAATTTTTTGTATTAAGTTAGTTACTGGTAACGGGCTGGCGGCAACTTTCTGCATAGGGCCAATAATAAGTGGAGGAACCCACACTCATCTACAGTATGCTGAGACCTGAAGCACCTGCATACAGTTTGGGAATTTACTTAGAAACCTGGAGTCACAGAATCAACTAGGTTGGAAAAGACCCTTAAGATCATCAAGTCCAACCATTACCCCAGGACTGCCAAGTCAGACACTAAACCATGTCACTGAGGGCCTCGTACGTGGTTTTTGAACACTTCCAGGGATGGTGATTCCACCACTTTCCTGGGCAGCCTGTTCCAATGCCTGATCACCCTCCTTGTGAATAATTTTTTCCTAATATCCAGTCTCAGTTATTAGGATCCTGACTCTGCAGTCAAGGCTAAGCTGCATGGTCGAGGGGATTATTTATTACTCATACTACTGCTGCTTTTTCTTTAGCAGTAAACATTAACTTTCAGGTCATGAGAAGGAAGAACAGGTATGGCTTCACTTAACAAGGCTCTTTCTGATAAATCCCACACACTTAGTCTAAGGTAGCAGAGGTTATTTGAACCAGTAACTAAGTGGTGAGCATCCTCTACTATGTATATTTTACTGGGATACATCTCAGTAAAAGACGCATGCAGTGTGTTGACAGCTTACCATTAGCCTCAGGCACTGATGTAGGTTCACTTTGTAGAGCCATTGGCATCCCTGGACCTGGTGGCCCTGGTGGCCCAGGTGGGCCCTTTGGACCAGGCAGCCCAGGAACTCCAGGTAGCCCAGGTAGTCCTCGAGGTCCTGGTACCCCTGGCTCGCCCACAGTTCCTTGTAGCCCTTGAAATCCTGGTGGACCTTGTGGCCCAGGTGGACCATCTTTGCCTTGTGGACCTGGTGGCCCTGGGTCTCCACTTGGTCCAGGCAGACCCGTCTTGCCAGGAGAACCTCTCTGACCTTTGGAGCCAGGTGATCCTCTTGAACCTTTTCCTCCTTTTTCTCCTGGTGGCCCAGTTGGCCCAGGTGGGCCCTTCTCACCTGCAGGTCCTGGTGGTCCGGGCTCTCCTTTCTCTCCTTTTTGTCCTTTCAGGCCAGCGGGGCCAAGAGGACCCTGAGGGCCTCTGTCACCTTTAGGTCCCCTTGGACCAGGAGGGCCTGAAAGAAAGTCAGCATGCAAAGTGGGGATATGGACAGAATAAAAAGCCAGTGAGGGGTCCTCACTTAATGTATTTCAGACCAGCAACATTGGATATTCAGAACTGCGAAAACTGGGCTAACAGTTACTTTGAGCAATGCTTGTACATTTGCTTCTCAGGTTCTGTATAGCATTGATCTTTCCTCAGCCTCCATGAAATACAGGATGCAGAAGAAAATAATCTGAAGCACCTTGTCCTGTGAACTGGACAATGACACCATGCCCTAGGTGACCAGCTGAGGCACCAGTCCCTGCAAGACACACTCTGTCCTGCATGTTGATGCTCCCATTCCCTCCTCTGTTCCCACACTTCTTGCCCCACCTCTCCTCTCTTATACTACAAGACTCTTTCTCCTGCAATGACCTTGTTCACTGCTTTGTCAGTAATGGGTTGTCAAAAAGGGACAAAATGATGAATAGCGAGTAATAGGCTAACTGTGGGAGAGACCAGAAGTACTAGCTGCTAACCAGCCAACTATAACTTGAAAGGGCACAATACCCATGATAGGAAATGGCAACACTGTGACAGCTATAAAAAATCAAAATAATTTGGGATTCTGATCATGGATGAGCAAATGCCTTGCCAGTATTCTTCCCCCTGCCAATCTATGTTAATTTTAAATCCTCCAGAGATAAATTCCTAAACTGCAGTGATTTAGTCCTGGTTGAAATCAGAGAGGTTATGGTTACAGACATGAAATCTTGGCTCTAATTCAGCCTTAGTTTATTTGGAGCAATGGATTTATATTTGTGATTAGAGTTTTAGGCTTGACTGGTTCACATCAGGTTGGAAATACAAGCGTTCTTTTCATTTGGGATAATACTTGGCTGGAAGAAGCCTCCTAAACTTGATGCTATTTATTTCTGGAGAAAACAAAATATCCCAGGATTAAAAATCTAAGCAAAGTAGGATGTTTTCTGGCAGACTAACAACTGGCTGAAAGTGAAATAGCAACTTGTTTTTCAGTAAGGGCGGACCTTTCTGGGAATAGTCCAACGTATATTTTTTAGCCATTTCCTCCTTAGCAGGCATTGGTTTCTTGAGGTTCCACACCTTCACTAGCTTATTTTAGAAACTAAATCAAAACCAGACCCAGTCAGTCAGTCAGAATAAAAATTTGCTAAGTCAGAACCTTCTTTCATACTACCCCCATTGTAGCTATGTAAAGAAGGCATAGGAAAATTAACAAGGAAAATTCAAGCAACGTTTACATTCCCAAAGTTTAGGGTTAGATAATGGAAAATCCCAGGACTCTGTACCAGCATGCACTATCTTCCACAGAACCAAACAAGTAACATAAGCAGGAATTTGGCATAGACTATTAGAGGCATCATTAGGGAAGCTACGTACCTTGTAAGATAGTGAAGTTCTTGATGAGCTGGCCATGTTTGGAATCTACCAGCTTCATTTCTTCCATAATCACTGACAAATTGGCAACTTCAACATCTAACCTTGACCTCATCAAATCCTGTTGCACCTTGAGAGATGCAGAGTCTAAGCGAATATTGGCTAGTGTGCTGTTCATAAAAATCAGCTCATCTGAATGTTTACTTAAGGTGTCTGTACAAGTTGTCCTGACCTCATTGAGATTGCTAGTCAGTGTTCGTAGATGATGAGCAGTGTAGCTGATATTGCTAATGATATTGACTATATCAGTCTCAAAGACCTGGAACCTCTCTTCTAGCTGGTTAAATTTGGCAGAAGTTCTGTTTTCATATTCTTTATGTTGTTCCTGGAGATCCTTTAGATTTTGTTCATTGGCTTGGGCAATTGTGGTGATGTTCTCCATTTGCCCGCTGAAGGAGCTGAGCTGGTTGTTCATGTCTTCAAGTGTATCATTGTTAGCTTTTGCCAATGCTGAGTTGTTGGCAGCCAAAGTCTGTAAATTTTGTACTCTCTCCTTAAGCCCGTCGGTGTCCTTCCGGGCTTGAAGGACAACCTGCTGCAAATTTTGAAAGTCATTCTTGATTCTTAGAATAGCCAAGCTTGTATCTTCCATTGACTTCTGCAGGACACTGATAAGATTTCTTTGCTGCATTTGTGTCAGGTTTAAGTTGTTCAGGTTCATGATGACCACATTATGAGAATGCACTTGGTTTTGCAAGTTTGTTTGGATATTACTCGTGTCTTGTTGAAGATTGTTGATATAGCCAGTATATGCCTGAAGAGTCTTATTGACACTGATGATCATGATAGAGTTACTATCTAAGGCACTTCTCATTTGGCTCTGTCTATCATCCAATACATTTCCAGACTCTTGCAGCTTCTCCAGTGTATCTTTATTTCTGGTAGTTTTCTCTGCAATGTCATGAAGCTGCTGACGAAGAGCCAGAATGTCAGATCTGAAGCTAGACAGTTCAGTGTTAGTATCCATGGCTTTTTGTCCAGCTTGGTCATCTGTTGTATGGGAGATGAAAAAGAAAGGCTTTAGGATGAGTTTTTTAAAACACAGTGTAAGAAAGCACAGTGTATTTTAAGTACAGTCAGGTTGTCCAAATGTTTTGTCAATAGACAGAATGTTGTATATTTCCAGAAAAGAGAAACCACTAAGCAAAGTTCTGTCACTAGACATAGCAAAAATCAAAGAGGAATCAATGAAGACCTTGTGTCTTCTTGAGGAGAAAAAAATGGTGATTCTAGCATCATATATGGGAAAAATTACCACTGATGAGTAAATGCAGTCAATTAGTGCTGTATTCTGAATGAAAACTGAATGGCAAACAGAATTCAAAATATTAAAGTGGTATCAGTAAATACATGTTTTAAAGCTATGGCTGGATTTTGCTGAAAGCTCGTAAGTAAATTTTAGCTGCTCATATTTTCTTCTTTTTCCTGGCAGGTGGAATATCTTCATTGTGATTTAGTACCTATAGTCCCATTTTTTGAAATCTTAGGTTTAGTTTTAAAGAAGTTCTAATACGTCTTTTAAAACAATCTGGGTTAGTGACAAAAGCTTTGCCAGCAGGCTACTCCAGATGTGATGGGATATAATGTATTTCTGGTTTTCTCTCTAATATATTCCTATTGCTTTTAATGCCATTTACTTTGCTGTTGTTGTTTCCTCATGTTCTGAGTTTGAGGAAGGCAAAACCTTTAACCTTGAGGACCATCTCTGCTCTTGCTTACACTGCCCTACAGAATACTTCTGGAAGCTTGTCTGAATATGATTAAGCTTCTCTGGCTGCACAGCTCATCAGCCAGGTCATGGAAACCAAGCAAATAAGCAGTCAGCACTCACTCTCAGGGAAGATTTCCTTTCTTGACCTCAATCACTTCTCTCTTGTACACGCAGTTCATATATTATTGTCCTCATCTAAGTGTAGCTGTATTTATGAATTACACGCTCTGTAGTCCATCATTTCAGATGTCCCCAAGAGAGAGCAGGCTGGTTTTCATAAACTACAGTGAATACAGCTGTGTGTAGAGCTTTCTTCTGGTGTGTCTGAACGAGTCATGATGGCAAACATCAAATGGTGGCTTGTGAGATTTCAGTCTGAAGTGTTTATGGAGTCTTTTGTGGATAGACATCTTCTCAAGCACAGTTCCTCTCCCTGCCACTTGTCTCACTCCAGGATCTTCTCAGCTCTGACTCTGTGTTTACCTCTTTCTTATAGCTCAAATTATATTGTGTTCCTCACACAGCTCTGACAACTGCCAGGTTCACATACAGCTAATCCCTAAAGGCCTGTCTTTCATTCACCACATGCTGTTATCCTTCTGGCCCTACAGCAGTTCTCTTACCTTTATGCCTCCCACACACATTGCTCCATAACTTTTTTAACTTCCTCCATGGCAAGTCCATTTAAATGGGAACTGAAGGTCCTGAGCATCTCACTGGCCATCCATCCAGCAGCGTGTAAAAATGTGTGGGCATGAATGAATGAAAGGCACTCCAAGTTGTGAAAATTTAATCAGTATAACATAATAACCCAGATGTAACCCAAAAGTTGCATGTGCTTGGAAGTGTAACATTTTTCCTTCTGTATATTTATCAGTAAAAGTACATGCCACTGAATTACTCCATGTCTTTGAACTAAATGCATTGTGCAAATACTTCAGAATCCGGCTATTTTTGAGGGGAAAAAGTTATAAAAATTTATGATCAAGCTGCAAGCAAGCAATTTTTCCTAGAAATACACATCTCAACATGTGGTTTATGAAGCTCAGCAAAATTTATTTCAGTCTTGAAATAAATTGCACATGCATTATGCATATATTAATAT